AAAGACTTTGATGGTGACAGCCCAAACATGAGAGGTTGAGCTTAATTAGCTCCACCTTGCGGAAATTCCGGATACTATTATTTTGCTTGCGGTATAATAGGAGAATTTACGGTAACTAGCGGTAGACTGCATACAGCGCACCAGAAAATAATGCGGTATGGCCCGCGCATTTTGAATGGCTGCATCTGTACTTTATCTGTAACACTACCAAGAAATCATGAAGCTCACATCATGGACAGTTTGACAATGAAACCTGAAACAATCTATCCCTTCCAGTATAAACAAAGAATTGCGTCTTTTAGCTACAGGGATCTAACAGCATCTGGAAGGCATATAGAAGCAGTATCTCTTAGCTAATGTTTCATCCCCATGCTGCAGAAGAACCAGGCCAGAAGTCCTGTATAAATTATATTCTGTCTTGATCTACATAGTTAAATGTTTAAGTGTTTCTATTTTAAGCCATCTTATCTGTTGTATATACGCACAACTAGACAGTTAAATTAATGTGACATCTGTAGCAAACAAAATCTGCCAATGTTCAGACTTTGACTTCAATTGTTTATGTAACTATCTCAGCTTTGCATTGTAGAAAACAAGACTGGGAGAAAGGCTGTGATTTGTCTCTAACATACACATTCTGATTTTCAAAAATATTAAAATATGGTGCTTTATGCGTCAGAAGAGTTATTAGTTTAAAGCAATGTTCAAAAGCAACAAATCCTAAAAGCATCTATATTTGGCAGATCACTTAAACCCACAATAAGGAATTATCCCTCAATTGCAGTCTGACTTTCCAGGGTGTGGTCAGCAGTGACTCAGAGCCAAGAGTGTCCTTATATCTAGATGACTTTTTATTGCATACCTCTGACTCCAACATTTCTTTTTTTCTCATAGGTTATGGACCCCCTTATCAGGTTTGGTAGTGTGTCTGGTTTGGTAGTGGTGTAAAATAAATCTTCAGAAAAGTAAATATTTCTCAGTAACTCTGCAAGAAAGATATAATTCAAAACTTCACATCTAACAGATCTCCAGTAATAATGATTGACATTTTATTATGTGTATGCAATTATAATTTAAATATTCAAGTATAGTACAAAGAAAAACAATAGTGTCATGGATGTCGGAAAAGGCAAGCCGTGGAATGACAAGGAGAGCAATAAAGATCCTATGTGTGGCGGTAAAAGGGGCAACAGGGGAGTTAGTCCAGGCTCAGGGGGTCAGATGATGTCGGTAAGAAACCTATGCCCACAGGCTACGGACAGGAATGAGCTGGTGCTAGGCGGGTCTCAGGACATCCATACCCTCAATGCTGAGCGAGGACCAGAGCAGCCACAGGAAGTAAATAGACTACCCAACAAGACACACCAGAAAGACATGAATAATGAAAGGGAACTAGGAACAGGACAGAAGTAGAGCGCCCTCAAGGTGTACCGGCATGACAGTACAACCCCCCACCCCCCCTTCAAGGGCAGCTCCTGACGCCAAAAAAAAGAGCTGCACAGCACTGGGGGGAGGAAAAACCTCATTTAACTGAAAGGAAACCTCCGGGAGTCCACGGTGGACAGCAACCCCCTCCTCCAAGGTAAAAAACTTTTATTGAGTAGAGAAGGGGGGGCAGACTGGGCTCCAGGGGAGCAAGACAAAAAACCAGACCAAACATGTAAAAAATCATGAACAACGAAAATAAAACCTGATGGAACAGGGGAACAAACACATAAGGGCATCGAAGCCCAGACCAGAGGGCATGGGAGCCTGGGACAGAGAGACTGGCGGGCATGGGAGCCCGGGACAGACAAAACACATTAAAACAAATCACACACAACAAAAATAAACCCTGACGGAACAGGGGAACAAACAACACATAAAAGAAATAACCAACAACAGATAGGAGAGCAGGGGGCATGGAAGCCCAAAAATTCCAAAAGCCAGGAAACAATTTTTTTTTAAAAAGCTGCTTGTGGGGCCTAGGGTAGGCTCAGGATTCTGTCATGGATGTCAGAAAGGCAGGCCATGGAATGACAAGGAGAGCAGTAAAGACCCAATGCGCAGCGGTAAAAAGGGCAACACGGGGGTTAGCCCAGGCCCAGGGGGTCGGACGATGTCAGTAAGAAACCTATGCCCTCAGGCCACGGACAGAAACGACCTGGTGCTAGGCAGGTCTCAGGACATCTGTACCCTTAATACAGAGCGAGGAACAGAGCAGACACAGGAAGTATATAGACTACAAGATTTTGCTTGTTGAGCTACTGTATCAATGGAGCAACCTACTATAAGCAGTGCACAAACTGAGGGAAAACAGAGGGAGAAGGTAGGGCAGGGGGATGTCAAAACCCTTGTTAAAAGTAGCATTCCCCTTGTCAACAAAAAGTGCCCCCTATTTGTAAACAGATGCATTCTCCATGCTAAAACCTCTCAACAAGCTTTTAGAATTTCTTTCCCCGGATCCATGATTTGTTTGCTGCAGATTGTTCTCTCAGTCCCACTAATTGCACTATCTTCCTTCATCATGCCCCACTCCATTCCCACTGTCATACTTAAGACTCCAGTATTGACTCTATATTCTTCTGTTATAGGACCTTTGAATATAAGTATATCAAAAATAGTTTTGCCTTGTATGAGCATTCTGCGATTTACTATAAAATACTCCTGTTCCCTGATATTACTGTGCAGTATGTCATTTAGCCTTGAAGCATAAGCCACAGTGTCGCAAGCAAGAAGCATAACTGGGTTCGTTCAACTGGCCTAACAATGACTGGCTCAGAATTTCTTCCACTAGTTATAAGGACACTGTGTCTGACCTGGTTCCTTTGAGCAATCTTATCTCCTTTCTTCCAGCGCAAGACTGGCATCAGTGGCGGCAGCTCCTTCTCCTCCGTCTTCTCAATCACATGTGGCCCCAGGCTGTAGGTGGCTTCAAACACAATTGGGGAAAAGACATCTTTCACTTCTTTCTGCAAAGACACAAAAAACACTGTCAACAGCAAAAAAATGGAATAATAAATACAGTATAACAAAAACATTTCATTCTGAGTCCTTACTTTTCAAAATTTTCAATTTTTCCAATGAAACCAGTTAAAACACATCAGAAAGTTTCACTTATTTGACATAAATACGATTAAGGTTATCTTTACATTATTTCATTACAACAGTCAATGGCAATATGCAAGTACAGTCCATAATACAGTTTTAGGATTTACATTCAGCCATTGACAAGTAAGATACTTGCTTCATCAGTATTGAATGATTTAGGAGAATCATCAAGAGAATCAATGCCCTGAGCAACTCTATTGTAGAGTAGTGGCACGTTCAGCCAATACGAGTTTTTGTGTTTGTTTGTTTTTTTTTTGCATGTGCTTAAGAAAAAGTAACCAAAAAAATAATCAAATTGAAACAAGTCTTTATATAACGGTTTTGGGTGGGGGGGTGCAAAAGCATAAGCTCCTTTTTCCTGTCAACTGATATTATACAAACCTGCTGATGCATTTAGCCCAGGAGTGCTGACTCCATTCTTAGTGGTTATTACAGCAGGAAGCTGCTGTTACTCCAGCTTCCCTGAAATGTGTGAATACTACCTTTTACTGTAGCATTGAGATGAAAAGTTATCACTGTGCTCTAGCCCTCTGTATAAACACAATTCACAACATTTTCCACTAGCAAAGCACTCAATTTCTCTCTGCTTCTCCCTCAATGTACAGTATATGTATTTTTATCTTGCACCATTTTCCTGTGTCCACCCTTTTCTTTCCTCAATTAAACTACAGAACAAACAGGATCATTGCCATCAGGTAATTTATGACAGGAACTCAATTCTTGAAACCTTTGATCCCCACCAAATGGGAACTACAATACCAGATTATTTAAATTACATGAATATGGACAGTTTTCAAATTCATTGCCAGCATTTTATCGAGGGTTTTTTCCTGTAGTTGGATAGTATATATAGTACAGTAGGTGAACAACATGGTTATACCATTATGGGTAAGTTTTTAAGATCTTACTGTACATACATTGCTTTTAGCCTTGCATACTTTATCAGCAGCCCTTTAACTACAAGGAAACTCATAATGGAACCCCACTAATGAAATGTATTGTTTGTTGGAGTATGGAGAGGGGAAGACCTCTATGTGATGTAGATGTATTTTTATGAGTCTGCAGACCTGGAAGTGAATCTAATCAGAAATTGGTGTCATCAATTCTAAGCAATTCATCAACAAGACAGAATTAATAATCTAATTATTCTTAGAGATTCACAGTGCATGGCCACAAAAGTGGACATCTAACAGTACAGTAGCTTCACATAGATATCAACAGAGACAGGAAATTTCAGGTGCTTTTCACTGTTTACCTAACATGCTATCTAAAAACCTACTGTATGCTACTTGGTGTTCTTAAGAATGTAGGTTTCAGGAAACAGCAGGAAAACTAAATTTTACATTAAATTTAAACCAAAGAAAAACTTTCCAGCTATTTTAAATCAAGTCTAATTATGCTATCTGTGAACTAGGGGGAATTTAGGTTAAGTAAAAATATGTTATGCATCACAACTCCAAAAGGGTTATGTGAGATACCCTTAACAAATCTTGTATTTAATTATTCTAGCACAGTCCTTCTCTATTAGGCTTATACCACATAAAAACACCATCTAAATTCATTTTTAAAAACTAAACTGCCTCATTCATGAGTAACAGAATAGTGGCTGTGAAAGAAGTAAACGCAGGGGCAAGACATAGAGATCTCTTTATGAAATCCACTCTACTGCACTATTCTTGATAAAAGCTGATAGCATACAAAGTGGCGATCAATAGCAGTTAGGAGGGGTAATTGCAGGGTTTGTTAATAAGGCCCGTTTCACTACTAAACTCCGACTAAAAATCACCTACCAGCTCACCCTTTCAACATTTTTTTATGCAGGTTAGCCCAGGATGAAAGATAGTTAATTTTGTGTCTAAAAGCTTTTATTGATGAATGATGTTTTAAATTCTTATAGGAAAAACAGCAGTGCAGAACTTTTCCAAAAGCTACTGTATATTTCGACATTTGGAACATTCTGAAAAAACAACAAAAGAAAAATGCTGTAATTTTTTATAGCACTCGGACTCTTCTGACACAATTGTTTTGTGAAATTCCCTTTTTGTCTCAGAGGACTGGGTTCAGCACAGTCTCCGAGGGAAATTAATATAATGAATCACATCCTGTTAACTAGGAGGACCTGCAGGTACAAATCATTGTCAACCTCTGAATCATGGTCTTTTTATTGGCCCATTATTAACATTTACCAGCAACCCCAACAGCATTTAACTCCTGTATTTTTGGAATGTTTAAAGTCCCATGGCTCCAGTTAACTAAAGTGTAGCCAGAGCTCATTGCCTGAAACCTTTAATTGACATTGTTGTATAGAACTCAGTAACTGTGCTATGTATACTTTTCATAGGTACAGGAAGCCCATCAGCACTGATAATTATTTTTAGAAGGGAAATGCATAGTCTGGAAAATCATCATTTTAGCAATAACACATAATTCTAATTGAAGGTGCTATCCAGTGATTTTAAGCTATTTGAATAACATCACAACCCTTTTAAAACAGTTAAGAGGCGAGCAGTCTTTAAACATAAAGTTCTTGCTTTTTTAACACAAAGCTATACATATACTGTACACATTGATATTGTACGTTTCAATTAAAAAATTCACATACATGCATCTGATTGCATTGATACAGTAAAGCCTGACCATTCTGTGAAAAGGTTTTGTGTGTGTGTGCAGGATTTACAAGGACACTGCAAAGGCTACTGTGAATCTCTGATCATTATGGAATTCATTACAGTTCTAGTAATATATGGATTGTTTTAATCTGCCAATTTTGTGCATCTTAATTCTTAGTGAAGCTTGAGAGAGGTCCCATCCAAGTGACCAGAGAGCTGGTATGCACATTCTGCAAAAACTTAAGAGTCGGGGTTACTGCCCCATGCCTCCCATCAGCACTTCAACACACTACAACAAAGAAACATCAGAGATATCAAAATACGTAACTAATTTGAATGTTTCTTACAGAACATAAGCTGCAATTTCGTGGACTAAGCTTAGTGTGACACAATCTAGATCTGGACAAGGATTCCATTAAAGGTTTAAAATACATAAATACAACAAATATCCCAGCTTTATTAGGGTTCTGAGATTCTGTACTTTATAAGGAGGATAAGGGAAACTTTTGGAAAGTTGGAAAGGTCCAATTATTAACTTGGAATTTAAGCACGTCATTGCTCTGCTCTTAATAACTTTCACAAGCACTACAAGTCTGTGAAATAAATGTATTACCTCTCTGAAATTAAGGTACAATAGTCTACATCAAGCAACTATAAACTATAGATACAACTATAGGCATTCATTATACATTTTTAAATTTCATTAGCTTTTATTGTAGCAAGAATTTGGGCAACTGTAAGATTTACCATTAAAATGATCTCAACAATATGGATTTCCTTATTAGGACAATTCTGGAATAACTGGCTCCCTGTACACTTATAGCTCACACAATCACTCCACTGATTTATTGAACCCATCAGGCAAGTCTCACCTAAAGTATATGTGTTTATGGGGCATTACACCACTGTAAAAAGCACTTAATCACGTCTCCAGAGGATTGTGGATGGTATGGACATTTGTCCAGTGAATTTTGCAGGACCCTTAATGACAAGCACAGTAAAATACTGTAAAATACTGTAAAATACAGAGTTAACCCTTGTGTCACCTTTTCAAGACTCTTGTTTGAAGGAAGTTGATAGCACTACAAGATATTTGAATGGCCAGAGTAACAGTCTATTAAAAAGCCCAGTATGAACTAAAGGAGGGTGGCACAGTGGTCAGCATTGCTTGAGCCAATTGGGTTCAATTTCTGGGTTGCTGTCTGTGTGGAGTTTGTAGATATTCTCCATGGTTTTTTACCGTGTGCTCCAGTTTCCTCCCACAGATACTGTATGTAGGTTAATTTGCTTCTGGGGAAATTGGCCCTGGTGTTTGTGTGTACCCTGCAATGGACTGGCATCCTGTCCCGGGTGTATCCCACCTTGAGCCTGCTGCTTAAATGGACTACAATGGACTGGAATGGAGGGTGATATAAAAAGGGTAACTTGTAAAACTTATATTATTACAATTTATAATTCTAGTGAAATTAAAAATGAATACTTATTTGCATTACAAATACTCACATACAGTATATTATTACAGTAGATTATATTCTCCGATTATTATGTTCTCTCTAACACTCACCTTAATACAGAACAAATGGCAGAACAAAAGGTCGAAAACAATAACATTTCTGGTTAATTATTCAAATAACATGGTTAACGCCATTGGCCAATCCATAAACAATAACTCTCCTGCTAATTTATAGTACAGAA